ATGGAAAGTGAAATTCATTTTCTTAGTCCCTCAGAAATACTAAAATTTAGAAGGCGGAAAAGCTTAACAAGAAAAAAAGGATTTAAGTATTAATGAAGGTATTTTACAAACATAGATGCAGGGAAACCCATGTGCTGTAACAGGGCATGTTCTTAGCCATGGTTCCTGTTTAGCTGCAGTTTGTAGGCTTGCTCCTGAATATGGAGCCAGGAAGACATCCTGCTTGGTCCTATTCTAGTTAAAGGTCAGCTTATGGTCAGACCTAACACACAAACTGCGGACATAGAAAGCAATCCCAGCACCTGTAAGCTGGATGTAGATTCTAAAGCTTACAAACAAATGTGAGCTTTTCAGATGAAAGAAAAGTGAGATACAAAAAAAAAAAAAAAAAAAAAGGAAATATATACAAGTATAGTATTGCTGAAGAAGAAATTATATATACAGAAACAGAAGTCCTACACTCTTTAGAGGATTCCTGGGTGATATATTGCAGGGGAACATGCACAGATGTTTTAGTGCTTTGTGCAGGACTCTGTGTTTATAAGGCAAAGAATAACTCTTCTGGAGCCTGCATGTCTGTTTGCTTCATTTGCAGATCTCCCTAAAGACAAAAAGTGTAAATCCTTCACAAGGCTGGGGAAAAGTACATGCTTAAAGTAATGAAAAGTCTTAAAATATTCTGGAGTTCTTGGGTGGTGATACACCAGATCTGCAGGGAAAATCCATGGAACCTTTTGTGTTTCTTTTTTTCTCCTCCTTAGCCCAAAAAGACTTCTGAGTTCCCCAAAAAGTAGCTGCCCCAGCTTTGCCCTGACTTCATATTGGAGTAAGACACAGCAGAGTGCCAGCAAGTCCACATATGGGCAGAGAGTTCAAGACAGGAAAAAGTCAGTGTCATAGCCTGTCAAAGCAAGAAAAGGAAGAAGGTTCAGGAACCCTCTGTGGTGGGACCAAACAGAGCAATGTGCTGAAGGCAGCTCTACCAGGCTGGGTGGCACCATGGAGAGAGCAAGCTTCTGGGCAGTGGAAATTTTTTTCTATTACCCATTTTCATCTACTACACATTCAAAACTCACTGACTTTAATATATCAGGAAAAAGCAACACCTAGAACACCGGTAATTCCCAAAACTGCACCTATCCATTTTAAAGAAAAGGTATATCACAATATTTTATGTCTATCCTATTGCTTATGTAAGAACACTACTATTGTTTTACATATCTTAATTGCATTTTCTGCATTTTGCAGATGCCTGAGCTGAAGTTTAGAAATTTGAAACCTTTTCAAAATGGCCACATAGTTGCACTGAATTTAAAAGGTTAAAATTGCAGAAGTGATGGAAAGAAGATAAAAATAGTGGCCATAGATTTTGTATTAAAACTTAGAGACTATGGTTTTTTTAACTTATGAAACATAAAGCCTGAAAAACTTCCAAATAATCTGAAGCTCGTGACCCTGGTCATTGCAGTATTCTTTAGTCAATATAGTACTGACAGTAAGCTTGAGAACATATATATGAATATGTACATGTATCAGTTCACAAGAAGGGATAGTCATGGCACTGAGAATGTACTGGTATCTTCTGTAAAATGAATACAGATTCCTGTAACTTTAACGGCGAGTACAAAAATGTAAAGTGATATTTTCAGAAAATCTGAGTTTAAAATCAGGTTCCTAAAAGCATTATATCACAACCTAAATATAAACAACATTTTTCAAAATTGGTGGGTATCAGCCTTGAATTGTAGGAGGCGTGTCCCAGGGGCAGAGAAGCCAAGGGACATGCGCAGGGACAGACAGCCCCATTGGTTACAAGGTCACGTGGTTTTAGGGGATAAAAGGGAGTGTGAGATTTAAATAAAGTCTCTTCAATTTCCACCTCAGGAAAGAGTGGACTACATTTCTTTATTATATAAAGACCCCCACGCTACACTGAATGATTGCAGAGTAGTCCAAACTTCCCATCCTTTTTCAGTCTCAAGTCTTTACAATGAGCAAAAATTGAGGCTGTAGCCAGAGTTAGACATATAAAATCAGAAAATGAAGATCTAACACACTAACTGTATTGTGTTGCCAGGAATAAAAGCTCAAGGAAGCTGGTAAAAGACTTGGAGGCATGTGTGTGGCACCCCTCAGAGAGGAGTGCCAATTTAGCCAAACAATGAAACCAAAAAGAAAGCAGAAATTCAAACAACAAAATTGTGGGTTCTAACTATAAAATCAATTGTAATTATATTGTCTTATTCAATAAATACTCAATAAACTTTCAATTAAAGTTTTGAAAACAAAGCAAAGAAATTCTGGCAGCTGACAATAGTTCATTGTCAAAAACACTTAGGACTCTGCTTAGACATGGAAAGTGGGACTTAGCACTTCACAGAAAGTGAAGTTTATTGTCTGGGAAAATCTGCAAATGTCTTCAAGGACAAATGCTGCTCTGTTCAGAGAAAGGACAAAGAGACTAACACCTACAGAATCAGGCCTGGTTCTGCTCTATTTGGCTTGACATTACCCAGCCAGCACAAAAAAACACACAACCAGTGCACACACAGACAAAAAACCATCCACAGAACATGCTGCCTTTACTCTACACAGTAGTTAAAGGAAACTGAAGGGAAAAGAGCTGAGAAAGCAGGCCTACACAGGCCTACAAGAAAAAAATATTTTGAATGAACCAATGTCAAAGATATATTATGTGGAGGAGAAACAGAAGCTACAGGAATCCTAAACAGGGAAGATTTCAGTTTGCAAGGTTAAGTTTTAAATGCCATCAGACATGGCTGCAGCATATCTAAATAGCTTATTTGACAAATAGATGGCTTAACTGAAGCATCATTTCCCAGTACTTGGCTCATAAACAACAGGAACTCAGATACAGAAAAAAACAGGCGAAAACAGTCAGGTCACCCAGTACATCTTTTACCCAAAGCAACAGCTTTCAAAATTTACTGAGAACTTTCTCCCATTACTTCTACTCCTTGAGTTCATGTTTCTACTTCCATGTCCACAGACACTAGCTTGCCAAGCCTCTGCGTCTACACTGCTTTGACTTGCACTCCCTGCTTGACAGCATCTTTTTCTCCCATTCCTCAACTCCAAGCTGAATATAATTAGCTCTGATAGCAGCACCAATTTCCAAATGCATTACCAGGTCTCAGTTCTCTCACCTCTTCTCCCTTCTGTGATTACCATAAGAGTGTCCCTCTTGATCTTTTCATCAAGACTGTATGTCAGCAGATTCCTTCTGAAGTTTCACTCTCTAAAACACAGATTCTTCTAGATTGCTAAAATTGTCACCCAGGCTCATAACACCACGCATCTCAATTACTGCAATGTTCTCCCTCAGCCTGAACAAATGTAATGTATCCTGATTTGTATCCTTTCAAAATGCTGCTGTGAAATTCACTTTCTGAGTCCACCATCTGTATGTGTCACTCTTACCTGTGCATCCATCTATTGGACAACCTTTCCCTACCTCATCAGTGATAGCTACTTACTTTCATTTACAAAAAATTTCAAAATCTAATTCATCACTCTTCTGCCTTCTCAAAGCATTTCTTAGTCTATATCCAACAGCTCATTTATTTGCCCTCTATGTCTGACTTGTTTAATGTGAGGATCTTTGTTCTTCTTTCTGTGTCATATTTCTCTATAAACATCTCTGGATGAACAGCATGAGACAATTGAAAATATTGTATTCATTGTCTGAGTCCAAGATTAGAAGTACTAAGGTTCTGAATTCCAAATTCTGTAACAGTAAAGCTGGGTAAATAATTTACAGTATGGAATTTATTTAATGAATTTTGCTTAATTTTCTGTTTACAAAACAGTGAATTTGATATTCAGAAGTGCTCACCAAATAATCTTTGCAAATTATTCTTGCCATGCTGCTTAAAAACAAGCAAATTTGAAAATTGATCTCTTTTGATGTATATTTAGGTCACATGATAAATTTCTGTAGCCTAGTTACTCAAGTATATCTTTGAGGCAGGCTGTGGATACAAATAGTGGTGATTATGTATCTAAAATCCACCGCCTGACAATAATTTCTAAAATCATAACTGTTGTGGTGGTGATCATTCCTAGTAATACACTTAGCTTTCAGAATTTCATCTGAAACAATTGGAAAAGATATAAACACACAAACTATTTTCATTTTAAAATGCAAATTTTTTTTCAAAATAATTACTTTATTTTAAGCCTGATTCTCTAACGAAAAGAAAAAGAGTTCATTGCCTGAGTTTTGTCTTTCTGTACCACTCAATTGAGTCACTTTCACTTCATTTTTTACACAGTAGTTTTTTCAGACTTCTGGTTAAAAAAGAAAAACAACAAACTGAAAAGGATTTGGGGAGGAGAAAAAAAAGTACACGCAGCCACAGTGCACGCTGCCTTGCTCATATGTGGGCTGTGGTGGGAAGCAGTAAAGGAGCATGGCACACCAGTGCTAAGTCCCATTCATTACATTTGCTATGTATGGACATCTACTGTCTTCTTGTTTTTCAGTGGAAGTTGAAGTTTCTTACAACAATTTTTTCAATGAATGGTTTGCTCTTTATGGAAAATTTTAATTCTTTCAGAAGAAAGCTAAGTGCCTAAACCCTAAACCATTCACGTTTCAGCTGAAACTTAGTGCCTCTCAGGAGCTGCAGGGGCTAAGATTCATCACTGTGCACTTCTTCATCTTTAGGATGATGTGGCTGATGTGTCACCTAAAGGAAACCAGGCTATAATACAGGAGATGCATGTTTCTGTAGGAAAATGGGAATATGAGGCCCATATTCCCATGGGAGCACCATGGTGACAGTTTCACATTAAAGTATTTGATTTTGAATGGGCACATTTCAGATTTGGGGTTTTTCTCACATAAAACAAAACTACTGTCTTCATATTTTTATGAAATATGAGTGCAAGTCTGCAATTTAGGAAGAAAGCTACTGAGATTTTTTTCCTGTCTCAGTTTCCATTAGATATTGCTAACTTAGGACTTGAGTTATTACCTTGTAGATGTCCAGGAATCCGCACTGATGGTCAAACCGCGTGTAGAGCTCGTTCAGCATGCTGATGACCTGCATGGGCGTGCACTGAGCACAGATGGCAGTGAAGCCGACAATGTCTGAGAAGAGCATGGTGACATCATCAAACTTCCTGGCCTGAACCTGCTGCCCCTGCCACAATTGCTGAGCCACTTCTTCAGGGAAAATAGAAATAAGGAGATCTACTGTCTTCTTTTTCTCCTCTTCCAGAGCTTGGTGTGTACATTCTAGTGTTGCCTTCAGCTTATCCATTCGTTTTTTCAAGCCATCCTGTGCCTTTGCTTGTTCCCCAACCAATATGACATCACGAGTAGCATCATGGATAGGTATGTCTGAAAGATGGAGGCCTCGGCCCATCAGTTCATCCAGCTTATCCACACATGGGGAACCAAGAAACAAAATCGAATTTGATTCTGGTACATGAATCATTTGTCCTTTAATTTCCATCACCTGCAAAATAAAAAAAGTTCAGAAAAGGAGAAAAATTAGCTGACAGATGTGGATCCTCATTCTACTTTCCCCATCTTTCCTTTTCAGCTAAAATGATAAACACAAACTGTAGCGTTTTATACAGAAGCCTCTTACACTCACCTGTTCAAGCAATGAGACTCACACAGTCTATGCACCAAATTGAGTCAGAAAATGGCCTATACTGACACAAAACTATTCTCAAATCAGATATTGGATTCTATTTGTACCCAATTAAATAGGAAAGCAACCACAATAACATGTATTCTCAGAGTGCTGTCTAAATAACACTTCTGGAATGTACCTGGCATTAAAAGCAAATTCCAGGGTTGCTCCTTCTCTGTTACTTTGCTGTAAATCATAAAAAGCACAAAATTAAAGCAAAATTACAACTATCTGAAAGCAGGTTAGTGAAATGGTGAAGCACCATTTTTCAGCAAAGCATCTATTAAAAGTAAATTGTGTCCATTTTATAGAGGAATCAAAGAAAAACAGATGTAAGAAACAACACTATAAACTAATAAATGTCATGGAAAAAGAGCTCTAGTGCTCCTATATCTTATTTCCCTTCTCATACATGCAGCAGAGTTGAAGACTGACATTCTGTTAGAATCTGTAGATTTGTATTTGCAAAATAGTAGAAGGAACAGTAGGAAAGGCACAGCAGATGGTTCATCACACTGGTTTATAGGTTTTGCGTGTGTCTGTTAAATGGCTAGATGCTGTCCAGGGGTTGATATCAATGACGCCACGGATTGTTACCTCTTGCTCTGTGATTGCAGTCAGGCACAAAAATAGCAGACTGAAATGGACATTGAAAGCTAAATTAAATCAGACAAACTGTACCTCTTAGAAAATATAGCCTGCCATAGCCTCTGCCATGCAAAACAATCATTATTAATGTTTTCATTCCAGGACTACACACAGACCAGGGCAGTGCTGTCCTAGGTGATCTAAAAAACCCACAGTCCTTACCCCAAGGATGTCATAGTCAAAATAAATACAACACACAAACCTTATGCAACTAAGAACAGTGTGAGGAACCATAATGCCCTATATCTGTGTTTTTCTATTCCACACAATCCCTTGAAATAAAAAGTTCTCCTTCTGACACCGTTTTTTTTCATTGTGTAGGCGTTCACACACTGTCATATGATTCACTTTATCATCTAATCCTCCTTGCATCCATAAACCTACCAAGTAAAACAGGAAAACCTCAATCACGGAATCCAGAGGTGACTGTAATGATATTGTGATTTAAGTGTCCAGAGGCCTGGAAGCTCCTGCTGAGCTGACAGCTAACCCTACGTGGTACTTTCCATGTTTGTGGGAGATAGTAGGAAGCTCCTGTTTCCATTAGGGTTTTTTTTTACATCAGATAATATGCTGTCAGTGCAGATTCTACTGTCAACATGGGAACTGAGACTATCCTGTCCCCATCCCCTCTGCCTACTCTGCTAGCAACCCAACAGATGTAGTTTCTGATGTCAGCCAGGGAACTCAGTAGGTGAAAGTAAATGCAAGTAATTAAAATTGTCAAATTTTCTAATTTATGTCCCCACGCACCTACTAATATTTACACTTCTAAGCTTTGTTTCCTCAGCTTTGTTCTGGGACAATCATCTCTGTGAGAAAGCCAGTCAGCTACCTAGATGGGCAGATTTAATGCTCCAAGGCTAACTGTTCTTTTTCTGCTTTTGAAACATATGGCTCCCTGCTCAAAACATAAGGGAAATGGGTGCTTTCTTCATGCATGCAGCCTCCTGCTTTCAAAAGGGCACATGCAAAATTGTTTTAACTCTGAAGTATAAGTTGCCAAATGTGAAATACATGGTATAGCATTTCTAAATTCTCTTCTCATTTTGTTCTCCTTTGTCAGAGAGTTTTCTGTTTGTAGAACTTCTCTCTTGTGCAAAAGAAATATATCTCATATTAGCAGTTCTCTCTTCCACTTCCAGGTGAAAATAGAGTATCATCTCAGGAGGAGAGAGCGTGACCACAGACCCTGGCTGAGCCAGTCTGGCATGGGGGTGGGCTGCTTGTCAGCAAAGCAAGGCACCTGGCTTGGAGTCATGTTTCTCCTGCTAACCTGCTGTGAGACTAGAAGAAAATTAACGATTCCCTCTGTTCTCCTGCTTTGCCTTTGTCAATTTGAGGTGTTAAACTCTTTGATGTGATCTCTGTTCATGCTAAAATACTGTCCCAACCTTTCCCAGGTGGATTTTTCTCAGGAAACACTGGCTGAGTAAATAATGTACAAAACAGGCACTCTGGAGTCCTCTGCTCTGCTCTTGGGTAACTCCAGGCAAATTAACAACCCTGAGTGCTTATTTGGCCCTTCAGCACAGCAGGAACAATGCTATTGACCACTCTATAACACACTTGGAGACTTATGTGTGAGAAGCAATAGAAGACAGACAATTCTATAAAATGCCTAAATAATAATCTGTTCTGCCCAAGTGAGCCAAGCTCCTGCTTCAATAAGGTTGAGGAGTTCTAAACACTTTTAGAAACTTTTGCATAGATATTCTCCCTACACAACTGATTAGCTTCCTAAAACTGACTAAAGGTTCAGTGCTACTTCAGCTTTATCCTCTGAATATTACTATCATTTTCTCTGCTTAACAGGAATTGTTGATGCTTCCTATCACTTTTTTCACGTTACATTACTGATTCTAATATTCTGCTCTCTCTTGATGATTGATGGGTAGTTTCAGAAAATGGCCTGCCAGTCTCTTCAAGTTGCCAAATCAGGGGACAGGGCAGCAGACGCAAAGCTGCCCCAGCTTGCCTGGGGAGAAACACTTAAGTCTTGTAAAGCACAACAGTAGAGAAGACCTAAGACTATATCACTCTTCCAAGTTGCTGCAAAGCCCCTTCCTTTCCAAAGAAGTTTCTGAGATGATTCAGACTGCTTCTAGCAGACTTCAGTCTGCAACTGTTATCCAGTTGAACCTCTGTCTCTTTTCTTTGGTTTCTCTTGCCTCTTGGATTCTTCTTTGTATCTTAAAGTACAGCTCATGATATAGGACATCAGGTTTGCCTGAAGCTTGCCATGCTTCTGGGCACCTCCCCAGAGCTGGACTGCTTCACACATGGACCATAAGCCTACATCATCCAGCTTTCTTTTAAGCAAGGAAAGATCAAAACATTTCTGTCTTTAGTCGTATTTAATTACTGCTATATTTCATTGCCTTCCTGTCTCTTTAATTATATTCTCACTGAGTAAAATGAGAATAATTCCATCATTTTCAGAGGACATTCTCCTGATCTACAGTGCTATAAGACAACACTTTGAAATGAGCAATTACACACCATATTTTACACTATTATGTTGCTGTGAAATGATGGTGCAGCTCTGGGATGAAAAACAAAAAATCTATCACTGATTTTCACTGCAAACCCACTGCAGTGAAAGGAGAGAAAACAGTTCCTGATTCTTAGGAATTCTTCAGCCTCTCTCCCCAAAGAGAAAATCCGACAGACTCTAAAGCTGCTGTTTCAGAACATGAGAGAATCTCCTACCGAGCAGCGCCCCAACAGCTACTTCATGACCTTGAGATTAGCTCAGTTGGTTAGAGCATGGTGCTAATAACATCAGGATTATGGGTTTGATCCCTGTATGGGCCATTCACTTAAGAGTTGGACTCAATGATCCTTGTAGGTCCCTTCCAACTCAGAATATCCCATGAAATTAAGGACACAATATCCAGTGCTCTGCACACACTCTGGATGCAAGCCACCCTAGGATCAAAAGCTTCTGAAACAAATGCCAACTCCATAGCCTAGTCTTTAAGGAAAAGCACAGGGAAAACCCTCATTTTTTGCACTGAGGAAGGATACTTCTCTGTACAAATATGTGTATTTTGGAATACTGACAGAGAGAAGGTATACACATCTCCTGGAAAATATTAAGGGAAATATGAGATGGTATCCTTGAGAAATAATTGGGGGGCTAAAAAATAATTTTCTTTCTCATTAGGCCAGACCATATTTTCTGCAACCTCTTCAATCTACAAATTTTAATGGAACTGCTGCTTTTACTTTGATCAGTGCATAATCCTTTCCAAATTGTGATTATAGACTTCTTTTTTAGTTTTATTTATTGGGAGTAGGTTAAGAAACTTACAGTGCTAGGTCACACTTTCATAAAGTTACACATGCATGCTTGACTTCATACAATGAACAAATTCAATAAGAATAAACAAATCTCCTTCCTTAACAGGCCCATAGATATTTAGAGGATAGAAAGACTAGGGTAAAATCAGTTTATGACAAATCAACCTGGACACCATCATCATCTCAAGGTACAAAGAGTATATGCTGACTTTTAGAAAGGTGGTCCAGCTTCTAGCCAAAATTTTAAAACAACTGGATTCACTTCTTTGAATGTCCTATAGGATACACAGCAGTGTCTCAGGAACATTTACAGCAAGGTATTTCTAAATATTTAGGGATTTAGGGTATTTCATGAACATTTCACAAGGCAACAATACACTTCCAGAAAGAAATGCAATGACTCTGCTTTTAATGTTTCCATGACACATCTAAAAGGTCTGCAGGTATGATGGACAACACTGTAATTAAAAAAAAACCCAACTCTTAAATTGGAAAAATGGGCTAAAACCATTATTCAAAACAAAGGCAATTAATATGCTTAGGCAAAAATAATCAAATGGAAAAAGTACAGGCAAGCTAACTGTTCCTAAGAAGGTGGCCCTGAGTCCACAGAGTGGAACAAATGAATGTAAGGCAACTTGTCATGCTGTCATTAAGAAAGAAAACACCATAAACAACTATGTAAACATGAATAGAGCTTGCAAAACACAGGAAGTAATCCTTCTGCTCTGACCACCAGTGTTCAGGTCCCAGATGGGCAAATCTGTTCCTGTTTAGTATAACAAAGAGGTGGATCGATTGAGAGTCTGTTGAAGAGCAAGAAATGAATGTGATGAAAGGTCTAAAAAACATGACCTACAAAA